ACCGACGCTGCCTGCTCCTTGGTGACCCAGTACGGCACGCCCCCGACCTCAAACCTCGAGGGGCGCGGGGTGGCTCTTCCGCGGAAGTGGGACCGCGCGCACGGGTGCTGCTGCTGCTGCTGCTGCTGCTGCTGCTGCTGCTGCTGCTGCTGCTGCTGCTTGTGCTGCTGCTGCTGCTGCTGCTGCTGCTGCCTCTCTCCGACCCCTCCTTCGTCGACTTCGCTGACGATTTTTCGGTGGCTCTCTCTTGGCTCCCACCGATCCATGATCGAAGGGGCTGCAAAAGGACCCCCTTAACACCACCGACCACCTCTACCCCACACGTGTAGGGCGGAACCCAAAGGCCAGGACCGCCATACAAGCGCAGGACAGAGGCCCAGGTGCCTGGCTGCCCCCAGCCATCACCCGCAGGCAATGGCCAAGCCCGCCGCCCGCCCACAGCGAAGGGGCGAGCACGCAAAGGCAAATAAAACGAAATAAATGCGAATGTGGAAAACAATAAATTAGAGGTAGCGCAACTGGCCCCACCACTCGCCACCAGGGTCCTCTGCTGGGCGAGCCAGGGGCCAAGGGCGCGTCAAGTGCAGGCCCTTAGGCCATGGGCACTTGCCATTCAGAATATGAGATCTCTGTTGCTTGAAAACCTGCCCGCAGGGCTCTCCGACTTTTCGGGGAAAGGCCCGAAGTGTAGGCCCCGCATCGAATGCAAAAACTAAGGGACCATTCGTCTCTACAATTCTGCACACGTGAAGGCTGTGCGGGGGAGAGACTTCTAATTCAACCACCTGCCTGAGGCTGGGGGTCAGGGTGGCACACGCACTCTTTGGGTTCTTATGGCGGAAGACGCGGGTACATTTGGCGCACCTCCACGCCGAACCAGTCCAGAGCACTCGGTGAGAGCGGCCACTTGAGACAGCAATCGGACGAGGGACGGTTGGATTACGGGCTAAATCACCGAACCACTCTTTAGCTTTCGGGAGTTCTAGGAAAATGTTGGCCATACCTAAAGCTACTTCGCTCCCAGCCTGCTAGACACACCTCGTACGTATTGGTATCCTGGAGAACAACGGGGCGATGACGTTTCGCACCATCTTTAGCAAGCTCATCGGCCTTGTCGTTGCTCCGTTGGTGGCGCAGGACTACCCCCGTGAGCTCGCCCTTCACATGGGCCTTGACTTTTTTCAGACACCACTGAGGAACTGCTGAACGATTAAGGGCACGCCATACTTCTGACAGCGGACTGGCACCTGAATTAGCCTTCCAAGGATCACGGTGACCTCCTAGAAGCGCCTCGCAATCAATCTGAATCACATACTCGACCCCGTCGGGGTCGTCCTCCTCTTCTGGCTCGAGGTGTGTGAGTCCAGAAAGGAGCGCATGAACTTCTCCAAACACCGAGCTCTGGGGAGGGAAACCAGGACCATTCCGAAAGATAATCCTCCGCCTCCTCCTCTTCCTCCTCCTCCTCCTGCTCCTCCTCCTCCTACTCCTCCTCCTCCTCCTCATCAGCAGCAGCAGCAGCAGCAGCAGCATCATCATCATCATCATCATCATCATCATCATCATCATCATCATCATCATCATCAGCATCATCATCATCATCATCATCATCAGCATCATCATCATCATCATCATCAGCAGCAGCAGCATCATCATCATCATCAGCATCATCATCATTCGCATCATCCTTACCTCCCTCTCTCTCTCACTCCCCATCCCACCTCCCTCCCTTCCCGAACCTGGAACATCGACGACCACAACTACAACCAACATGGGCTCTAGAGTGCGAGCCCCCAGAACGCCAACAGGGATACCGAAGAGGGAAACACGCACCAGGAGACCCCTGCTGGCGTCCAAGAAGCGTCTGACCCGAAAGCCAGGCACGCTGGTTGGATGGGCCGAAGGCCGCTGGACTGCCAGCAACCAGCTCCAATCAGGCTCCAGTGAATGGCGAACCGTTGACTCCTTACCTCCTCTGGGGGGGGGGACGGCAGAATGGCGCAAGCCTCGTGAATGAGCACCAGGAGCAGGACGAGAACCCGCCATCCTTGGCGGCTCGCAGAGGGGGTAGGGGGCATGGGGAAAGGCTTCTTCGAAGGAGGCCGCTCCTCGGAAGGCGCCGGCCTTCCATCTACGTGCCAGGCGCGCGCCCTCTCGGAGGCAGGGGTGCTCCCGAGAAGCCTGCCCCCCCTCCCCCCTGGCCCCCTCGGCGCGTGGCCGACGCCCTCACTCCTGCAGCTGCCGAGGCCCGACGGCGTCCCTCCCCTCCTCCGCCTCCTCCTCCTCCTCCTCCCCCCCCTGGGCGGGCCTCAGTCCTCGAGCCTCGCGCCCTGCTCCTCCTCGAGCCCCGCGCCTCGATCCGCCTCGAGCCCCGCCCCGATCGCCCTCGATCCGCCTCGAGGCACTGGCATCGAGCCTCCTCCACCACCGTCCCCGCTGCGCCTCGGGCCTCGATCCTTCGGGAGCCTCGCCCCTCGCTCCCCGAGCAGCAGCGCACCAGACGTGAAGTACCACTCCTCGGTCCTCCTCGAACCCCGAGCCTCGATCCGAGGCCTATGCCCTGACCGCTGGATGCTGGAACCTTCCAGCCGCGACCGACGAGATAGGTCGCTGCCGATGCTGCTGCAATTTCGGAATCGGTCGCGACCGATCTGCTGCAAAATCGATCGCGACCGATTTGGAGTGCCGATCGTTCGCTACCGACCGCGACCGACGAACACTGGTCTCCAGCAACCGAGGGGGAAACAAACGGATACCGACACCGCTGCTCTCCAGACCCCTGCCCTGGGGTGCGCCCTGCCCAGAAATTCGAGGAGTCGTGCCGTGGCGACGAGGACTCTCCGGGACGAGCAGCGGCATGTCGGACCTCCGACGTCATGAGCTGTTCAATGTCGGCCCCCAGAAGGCCCGACCCCGTCCCCAGGACGAGTGTTTTCATCCCGCGTCGTTCTCTGACGGTCCTGGGACCCGGCGAGGCCTCCCGGAGTCCGAAGATGGCCAAAAACCCAAACCTCGAGCCTCAATCCTCGTCGAACCTCGAGTCCGACTCCCCGAATCTTGAGCTCCGACTCCCCGCCCCGACTCCCCAACGGCGGAACGATGGTTCTGTGGCAACTCATGGGAGCCTCACATGCCATCTTGCTGGCTCTTGCGAATCGACTCTAGCCGACGCGAATCGATGCTAAATCGACGCCAAATCGAAGCTGGATCGGCGCTTTCTCATCGATTACTAGGTGCTAGCGCACAATGAGCGCTGGAGATGGGATTACGAGGAAACACGGCTCCCATGAGCTGCCACCGAACGATGGTATCTAAACCGATCCAGGTCCCCATTGGCGTGGACTGGGCCCCACTGGTCGATTTATCCCCCTACGTAGATGGGGATATCGGCTGTTTCCTTCGGGCCTCGAGGGGTATCTCCTCAACTGGGGTGGTGGGATGGTGGGGATCGCGATGGGATGGGGATGGGGATGGGGATAGGGGTCGGTTGAACGACACCGAGATGGCTGGGAAACCAAAAGGTACCTATACAGCTACTCCCAGGACCTCTCCCGGGGTGCGTTCTGACCAAACTTTTGACACGACTTTAGCGGTGGCGACAAGGGCTTATGATGAGGCCCAAGAGACAGAAAACAAAGGAAGGGCAACGGTATGGGTACATTTTCCTCCTCCGAGATGGGGCGCGCGCCTCATGCTGCGATAGTCCTCGTCGAACTGCGGCGCCCCCGCCACCCTCACGGGGCGGCCAGGAGGCCGCGCCCTGGCCGGCGGCTCCCCCCCGAGCACACGGACGGCAGCGGAGAGAGTCGGCGCCTCCGAAGGGTGTGGCTTGCAACCCGCGCCTGGGGGGGCGGGCGAGGACCTCGGCTTCTGTCGTGTTCACTTCAAGCTGCTACTCGAGCAACCAATCTAAGCGACCTGCTTGCCTGTTGGCTGCTCTAGGCAAGCCTGCTAACAGGCAACAGGAACTTTGAGCTGGCATCGCCGACTAGCTCGGTCTTTCCCTCCTCCACCACCCGCCCCTTCCCCCCCTGCCACTGCAGCTCGAGCATGGGGCGGGCGAGGACCCAGCGAGGGCTCCGCAAAACTTGGGCGCCACGTGGTGGCCCCCGAATTCCCAGCGGCGCCGATCGCAAGCCACACCCAGGCATTGACCACCCACTGCAGTCGCCGAGAGAGGGGGGGCCGCCCTTCCGGAACCGGGGGTCAGGCGCGCGGGGCTGGGCCCGGGGGCCCGTCATCCGCCGGCCCCCGCCTGCCGGGAGTGAAAGGGCGTGTGAGATGATTGGCTGTCCCCCGCCCCCGTTCCCCCTCCCCTGGGGTGAAAAATCTCGTTTGAGAGGGCGCGGGGCCAGGGGTGGGCGAGGGGGGGTCCGGGAACTCGCCGACGCTTCTCCCAGGCCCTCGGAGCCTTGAAGTCCAGCCTCCGCCGCCTCCACGCTACCCAAGATGCCTTCCGAGGCAGCTTCAGAAAGGCGCCGACGCATTCGATCACCCTCCAGAGCACTCAAGATGGTCACAGGACACCCCGGGAAGCTCCAAACACGCCACACCACAGCTCTAAGATTTTCCCCAGCAGCGGGTCCAGAGGTAACACACCTGGTGCTTTGTTCCTATGTTTTCTGATGACTTTCGCGTTCTCGCCTCTTCGGGCATCCGAAAGCTCAAAACCACCCCCGGAGACTCGGAAACTCCCCAAACAAATCCACGTCAGCCAAAAAGGCACCCCAGAGAACATGGACGCGGCCCCAGAAACCCTCAAGACGGCCCAAGAGGCCCCCCAAACGGCCCCAGAGGCCGGACAAGAGGGACCTTGAGGACGACCTCGAAAGATCACCGGGGGCTCTCCTCCACAAGATGGCCCCCAAGAACCCCGACATGCATCCAAGCGCCCGCGAGGGGAACCCCAAGAAGCACCCATGGAGCCCCAACTGGCCCCCAGAAGCGCTTCAGGTGCTCCGAAAAGGCCCCATCAAGCCTCCAACAGGCCCCTCAGAAGCCCTGCAACGCACCCGCCTTCAGGATCATGGGGATGCCAAGTACCGCGCGTGACGGGGTTGGCTCGGAAGGTCCCCCTGGATGGCTTTCTACCCGCCTTTCCCCCATCCCCTGGGTACAACATCCTCGTTAAAGAAGGGCCCAGGAGGGCAAGGACAAGGGTGTCCGGACCGATTCCGAAGCAAATCGGTCGCGACCGATACCGAATTCTGGAATAACATCGGTAGCAAACAGACCTCGTCGGTCGCGACTGCAAAAAGAATATCCAATGATCGGGGGAGACACCTTTGCGTCGTGAACAAAAAACACGACGCACCATGCGGCCTCCAGGGGCCCTCGCCAGGCCCCGGGGCCATCGGAACAAGACTGGGGACAAAAAGCCCGTTCTCGGGAATGGGTCGAGACCTCTGGGGGACCATGTTGCGAACAAAGACATGACGTCGGTGGTCTGGGCCCCGAGCACATTCTGCATGCGAGCCCATTCGACTGCCGAACGGACTCCCGATCGAGCTCTCTTGGCGGCCGAGCGAGCTCCGTCTTCATCGCACAAGGAAGCCGTGAGGATGCTTGCGACTGCGGCAGGCCCTGGCGGCCTCCCCGAACTTCGAGGAACCAACTTGGAGAACCGAAGCACTCAAACGTTGGATCGCCCCTGCTGAGCCTCCAGGACGCCCAGGACCGGGGGCGCGCAAACATGGACTAGCGATCCATGGATTTGGCGCGCGGTCGCCTAATCCATGGATCGGGGGAGGTGCCCTCTCCAAAATGCGGCCAGTGCCGCCTCGTTCGGCGGCGGAAATCCGCGATTTCCCATGGAAAAGGAACCCGTCGCTAATACACGCCTCCTCGATCCATGTTTGCGATCGCCTGAGCCTCCAGGACGCCCAGGAGGCCTCTCATCACCGCGCCTGGACATCCCCCCGAGGCCCTGGCCAACAACCGCAGCCCAGGACGGGCGCGTGGGCCAAGCCTTCCCCATCGGACCCATGGGCGACCAGAAACGCGACGGCCGCATCTCAGCCGCGTTCGGCTTCTGGAGAACGTCCTCCACCGCCCGGAAACGTCGGGGGCGGCCAAGAGTGGGGCGTCCAAGAGGGGGGGGCGCAAATCATGGCCTGCGGCGGCGCAACGAAGGAACGAGGAGGCGCGCGAACGCCGACGCCGACAACAACAACGACGACGTCGCCGTCGCCGTCATCGTCGTCGTCGTCCGCCCCCTCACCCCCCCTCCTCCCACTCCTTCTCCCCATGCTCCTCCTGCTGCTCCACATCCCCCTCCTCCCCCTCCTCCTCCCTCTATTCCTCCTCCTCCTGTTCCTCCTGTTCCTCCTGCTCCTCCTGCTCCTCCTCCTCCTCCTCCTCCTCCTCCTCCTCCTCCTCCTCTTCCTCCTCCTCCTCCTCCTCCTCCTCCTCATCCTCCTTCTCCTTACTCTCCTCCCCTTCCTGCTCGATCGTCGTCGCCCGCCGACCCCACCCCCCGGAACTGAAAGCGGGGGCTGCGCCTGGGAGCCCGAGGCGCGGCGCGGGCACCGGCGCTCGCCTCGGGACACGGCCGCAGCGGCGAGTCCGCGGCTTCCCCTAGCGGCTTTTGGTCCGCGCTCGATGCAGCGATCGCTCCGTGCAATTATGGAATACCAATGTATACATGGTTCGGGCAATAAATATCAGCACATACGCATGAAACGTTGCATGAACCGTTTCCATCACATCTACGTATATACTTGTATGGAGGAACCAACAGGCGCACCCTGTGTTATCTCCTTCTCTCTTTCTGTCTCGATCAAGTTACGTGTGGTGCGTGTGCCCACTCTTGTCTCTGTATTTTGTACACATGGATCGTCAATGCGGTGCGCCCATGAGTTGCCAAACTTATTGGATACATCTATATATATTTATACACATATACATATACATATATAGATATACATATATAATATATAAATGTGTGGATCTCTCTCTATATATATATATATACATAGTGTGTAGATCGGCCAATATGGGCCCAAACTAGAGTGGCTCTAGCACGTTATAATGTACAACCGAATTATGTGGAACAATGTACGTGGTGCAATGTGTGTGTGGTGCCACCTATATTGCGCAACCACCTATATTGCGCAACCGATGGTATGCATTTGACGTTGTGCGATTTACGCGGTTCCAAGTGGTGCAATATATGTGGGACAATTTGCGTGGTGCTATCTATGTGGCGCAGTGTATCAAGCGCAACATACACGGTACAATCGACTTGGTCCAAACTACGTGGTGCAATGTAGGTGGTGCACTCTACGTGGCGCAACTCATTCTGCAAAACTTTCACTTGCCAGCCCCACTGCTCGAGCAATCATCCCACACATCCACATGCAACATGGTTTGCAAAACCCATGCGCCGGCGATTCCGATGAGTGGTTGGTGTTGGTTGGTGCATGTTTGCGGCCGCGCTAGCCCACGCACGCGCGTGCGCAGAGCGGCCAGCTAGTTTGGCGCGACCGACGCGGCCGCGGTGGCGTTCACCGCTGGGCGCTTCCCAACGCGTCTCACAGGCTGCGCTGACGCGCGGGCACTTCAATGCGAATCCGTGAATGTGGCGGGCGCGGCATCATGGCGATATCGACGACGGAAGACACGATGCTGGTAGCAGCGATGATGGCGACGCTGATGACGATGACAACGGGACGGCCAATGACGGCGCCGATTCTGATCACGCCGATGCTGATGATGGCGTCCTCGCCCCGGTGATCAAACTTTTGGAAGGATTTCGACATACGCTCGCGGCCGACGTGCGCGAGTGGCCCGCATGGTACTGTTTGACCGGACCATCCCCCTCCCCCCCTGGCACACGCGCAAGGGCTCTCGAATGAGTTCGACATGCACGCGCGAGGGCCCCGTTTGGTCGAATGTGGTAACAACTTTGAAATTACATCTGTACATACATATGTACCTATACGACCGCCCTGCGGGCGATAAGAAGTTGAGGGGGATGGAGATCGAATGCCCACCCTGACTGACCTCCAGCCCGTCACCTTGATATCATCTCTCTCGTTCTCTCTCTCTCTCTCTCTCTCTCTCTCTGTCTCTCTCTCTCTCTCTCTCTGTGTCTCTCTCTCTCTCTCTCTCTGTGTCTCTCTCTCTCTCTCTTTCTCTCTGGATTGGCTGGGATGAGACGAATTGGAAAAGATAATATGGGTTGGGTTGGAAGAAGTAGGTTTGATATGATAAGATGGATTGGATTGGCCCGCCGCAGGCGCAGAAACAGATGGATTGATGGATTGGGTTGGGTGCATTGGATTGGGTGGGATAAGATAAATGGGACAAGATAAGTTGAATAAGATAAGATGGATTGGATTGGACAAGATGGATTGGATCAAATGAAGTCCGCCGCAGGCGCCGACAAACATGAATTGATGGATTGGGTTGGGTGGATTGGATTGGATGGGATAAGTTGGATTGGATAATATAAGATGGGTTGGATTGGAAGACGTGGGTTGGATATGATAATATGGATTGGATTGGCCCGCCGCAGGCGCAGAAACAAATGGATCGATGGATTGGGTTGGGTGGATTGGATTGGGTGGGATAAGATAAGATGGGACCAGATAAGTTGGATAAGATAGGATGGATTGGATTGGACAAGATGGATTGGATAACATATGCTGGGTTGGATAAGAAAGCACGCCACAGGCGCCGACAAACATGAATTGATGGATTGGGTTGGGTGGATTGGATTGGATGGGATAAGATGGATTGGATAATATAAGATGGGTTGGATTGGAAGAAATGGGTTGGATATGATAATATGGATTGGGTTGACCCGCCGCAGGCGCAGAAACAAATGGATTGATGGATTGGCTTGGGTGGATTGGATTGGGTGGGGTAAGATAAGATGGGACAAGATAAATTGGATAAGATAAGATGGATTGGATTGGACAAGATGGATTGGATAAGAGAAGCTGGATTGGATAAGAAAGCCCGCCGCAGGCGCAAAACAAAAAAAATAATTATGATATTAGCGACATGCATTAGCGCCGGGACGCCCGGGACACCCGGGACACCCGGGACACCGCCCGGTCCAACTGGGACACCTCCCGGCCAACGGCGGACGGGAAACGGACTTTCGCTCCTACTGACACCCGGGACACCCGGGACACCGCCCGGCCCAACTGGGACACCTCCCAGCCACCGGCGGACGGGAACGGACTTTCGCTCCTACTTCGGCCTAGCTACAGGAGGATCACGCGCAGCTTCGCCTCGCCCGCACGCACGACACGAACACGAAACCGAAACCGATTTCCCGGTGGGGGGGTCTCCGTTTCACTGCGATTTCATCCCCCAACCTCCGATATACATATGTATATATAAATATATATATATATATATATATATACTAGAACCAAGAGCGCGCGCTTCGCGCGCGCTTAGGTTCTAGCCGCGGCCACGGAACAGCTCCGAAGACGGTATGAGAGGCACATGTCCAAATTTATGGCGTTAGCCCAGAAATCCGACCTCATCCCCGTCCTCCTCCTCCCCCTCCGCCTCCTCCTGCCTCTCCGCCCCCTCCTCCCCCTCCCCCTCCTTCCCCCCCCTCCTCCTCCACCACCTCTACCTCCTCCTCTCCGTCCTTTTCCTCCCCCTCTCCTCCTCCTACTCCCCCCCTCCTCTCCTCCTCCTCCCCTCCTCCCTTCTCCTCGTCCCCCCTTCCTTCTCCTTCCCCTCCTCCTCCTCCTCCCCTCCTCCTCCCCCTCCCTTCCTCCCCCCCCCTCCCCTTTCCGCATCCTCCGACTCGTCGTCGTCCTCTTCCTTCTCCTCCTCCGCCTCCTCCTCCTCGTCCTCCTGTATCCTAATGGAGGCTCGAAGCCTGACGATGAACCTAGGGAATATGGAATCCTGCAGCGTTTCCCGCGAGACCAGTACATGGGGAAAAAGCACCAGCATGGCCCGTGGGATCTGTTTGTCGTGCACGTGCGACATGCATCTTGGGAGCCCTTCGGGGGCATCTGGCGGCGTCTTGGGGGCCTCCGGGGCGCTTATTGGAGTCTCCCAGGGTCTTTTCGGGGCCGAAGGCCCGGAAGGTCCGTTCGGATTCCCTGTCTGGGACCCTTCTTAGAGCCGTCTTGGGGCTATCTTGGACCGTCTTGGAGGCCTCTTGGGTTGCCTGGGTCCCTGTCGGGCTGTCTTGGTGCCGTCTTGGGAGCCTCTTGGGCCGTCTTTGGGCGATCTCGGGAGCCTCTTCGGCTACCTTGGAGCTTCGGGAAGCCGAAAAGGTGAGAACCACAAAAGTCCTCAAAAACCTTCGAAATACAACCATTTGTTGCCTCTTGTGGCCCTCTTGAAAAAGCCTCTTGGAGGTCTTTTGGTGCGTCTTGGAAGTATCTTGGGCCGACTAGGGACTATCTTGAGCGTCTTGGACCAATCTTGTGGAGTTTCGGAGCCCTCATGGACATCTTGGGTGCTTCCCGGGGCCGTCTTGGAGGCCTCCTGGAGGCCTCCTGGGCCGTCTGAAGGCCCCCTGGAGGCGCCAGGGCGGGGGAATTAAAAAAGGGCGCCCGATGGTTTTGAGGTGGGCGGGGCCCCCAGGCTGGGGACCTGATATTCATCCACATATATATATATATATATACACACAAGGAGAAAAACTGGCGGCGTCCTGCCGATGGCCTGCTGTAAGAGTTAGCAAGAACGCGCGCGTAGACCTTGTATTTCGAAAATCGATGCTGTAAAACAGTGCTTTTTGTAATTGTCCAGGACACTCGATTGTCAAATTCTTGCGGGCCCGAAAATTGTTGAACGCTTTCGGCACGCGCGCGCGACGACCGCGCGCGCCATGTTTGATGAACGACTGCGCTCGCATGGTACGCTTTGCAAGAGATGGCAGAGAGAGTAGGTACCAGTTGGGCTGGGATGGTGTAAGCTCATCACTGGGATGAACGATTGGACAAAAACATAAGTAAATTGTAATACAAAAAGGCGAGCGGATAATCCCTGGGGGGTGTGGATCCTAATTTCCTTGTAGTAAAGAAAATCTACGTGGTGCAGACTATGTCGTGAAATATACGTTGTGTGATAGATGTCGTGTGCTCCCCACAAACGAGGCCAACGGCAAGGACGGAAGGCAGGACGGCAGAAAAGTAGGTGGAGGCATCGAACTAATAAGAACCCCGTACTTCGCATATGAAAAAAACACCGCAGAGGATGAGCAAAGGAGAATGGGAGGAAAAAGAAAACAGCAGAGCAACGTGCGGGAATGCACCAAAGAGGCAGGAGAAGGAAGAGGACTGGAGACTTGATCGACAAAGGTCCATAATGTTCGTCGGATCCACGCTCGACGTGCATTCCGCGTGTATTCGCACAGGCCACATCCCTCAAATTGGCCAAATATGCTGAGACATCCTTGCCATTTTGAATACCGAACAGCTTGTGTTTGATTCGCCGATGGTGTCTCGCATGCCCACTTGAAATGCAAAACTCAGGATTCGCCTGAGACGTCCTCACGACTCGCTCTAAAACCGGCCATGGCGCGCAGGTCTCTGCAGTAGAAATGCTCGGGCCGGGGCGAGAGCGCCATTTGGATGTGGGCTCGGCCACAGTATCTCGTTTCGGCCCTCTTTGCATGTGGAGCAACCTATGTGCTGCAATATACGTGGCGCAATTTTGTTGTGCTGCACACTATGACGGACGGCGACGAGGCGGCGACGGTGCGGCGACGGCGACAACACAGCCGCCAGACCGACTCCCAAGCGCCCAATGGCGGGCGGCGACAAGGCGGCGACAGGGCGGCGACGGGGACAACACAGCCGCCAGACCGACCCCCAGGCCCAGACAACGGGCGGCGAGGAGGCGGCGAAGAGGCGGCGACGGCGACAACATAGCCGCCAGACCGAACCCCAGGCCACTTCCTAAGAGAAGATAAAAAACCCAAACCCTGAGTGCAAGCACTGGTTGGGTATCAAGTGCGTACACAAATCGAACTGTAAAGACCTATCCAATGTTGAGTATTACAAATTTGTCGCGTACAGAAATAACAATACGCAGGCGCATTGGTTCCTATCCGTATACAAACTATACGCACGCGATTGTACACATGTCTGAATACATCGACGTACATGGATGCACCTCTGCCAAAATGCGTGTACAGCCACGGCATGTGCAGTATTATACGCCTGCGTGGAGACAGATCTGGATACGCAAACTAACCCATATGACTGTAACCACATCCATCCGATTTCAATATGGCCATGCATACGCGCCCTCTCTCACTCCCACATCACCCGTGTCATCCCTCCTTCCATCACTGTATTTCTCTGTCTCTCTCTCTCTCTCTCTCTCTCTCGCTATCCCCCTCTTCCTTTCTTAATTTGGTATCCCCCCTCATAGAAACATAAATACACAAATACATGCATGTGTGCATCGCGCGCTCTGAATCCATATGTATGTATATACACACACACATCTGAGTGTATGGCACTGTCTCCACTCTCAATACATCCCTCTCCTCTCTTTCTCTCTCTCTCTCTCTCTCTCTCTCTTTTATATTCCTCTCCAGCTCTGCCTCTCTCCCTCAAACTCTCTCCCTCTCTATGTCTCTCTCTCCCTCTCCCTCTCTCCTTCTCCCTCTCTCTCTTTTTCTCTCTCTCTCTCTCTCTCTCTTTCTCTCTCTCTCTCTCTCTCTCTCTCTCTCTTATACATGGATTCGCTCATGTACACGTATATGTATGAGAAAGCAAAGTCTGCCGAGATCCGCGAAGGCCGATCCCCCGGGCGGCGATCATGCACGGCCCCCTCCCCGGCCTCGCCCGCGGCGACCGCCCCCTCGCGCGCCGCCCGGCGCCCGAGGGGCCCGCCGGGGAGTCCTGCAGCGGCTCGGCGGGCTCCGCGGCCGCCCCTGGCCCCCCCCCCGAGTGCGGCCGTGGGCTGCGCGGGGGCGGCGGGGCTGCGAGGATGGGACGCACAGCGACGCACGACTGCGAGATGTGTCGCCCCTGGAGGCGCACGCCCGACCCCAACGTGCAGCATACCCCATTCGTAGTCTGGCCATCGCTCGGACGTCCATTCCCTGTGCTTTTTTCGGTTTCGTGCGTGGTTTTTTCGCCAAATGATCAAGGATGCTCCTCGATGGTCCTCGCCGAGAGAAAAATGCACACGTCCGAGCGATGCCAAGTAGTAGACCGCTTCCCGAGCGGTGCGGCCCGAAAGCCCCCGCCACGACGCAGGCACTATAAGATTGCTCGGTGCGCGCGTCGCCCCTGAGGGGCCGACGCGCACATGGCATCAGTGTGCTGGGGTTACGCCGAGAGGCGGGGGGGCACTGCGGTGGGGGTCCCACGGCTCAGAGAAAAAGCTTCATGGCAACAGCGCCCGAGCTGGAAAGAATATTCCCCGTCGGCCCCCCGGCCTTACCGTCGGCAGGTATTTCGTTCGAGATGCTGGGCTGAAGATTTGCCCAGTCCCGCTTCTGCGGGAACGCTTGTTCAACATCAAGGCTGGTGGGCGACGGGGGGTCATGCGAAGTGGGTGCGAAAAACGGTCGTTGCAAAGCTTATCCTTCGAGAGCACGACCGTGTGGTGACAGACCGCGCAATGACCTCGACATCCCAGGAGACCTCACCGCACGGTCCGTCACCGAACGGCTGTGGGACCCTGCGGGCCCCCGGTCGCCCGAGGCCTCCACGGAGAGCAGCCCGAGTCCCAAAACCGCGCGGGCACCCCTGCCAGGGCCTTGGAGCTTCGCCGAGGCTGTGGCGCCCGCATTTCAATTGGACATGATCGCGCCAGCGACCAGTCCCGGCCCACCCCCCTTCCGCCCCATCTGGTCCTTCCGAACTCAAATCACAGAGATTGACGTGATCACTGATAAAACCCGCTACGCTGGCCGAACACGAATCACGTTGCATGGCCAAGCTTTGGCCAGTCACGTCACGATTCGCACCCGCGCCGTCTAGGAACTGGCCATCCCTAAGCAGTCCCAGAGGGCGCCAGCGCGAATCGTGGCGTGACCGGCCCCCTCTCCCCACCTGATCACTGGATGCCAAACTGTTTTCGGATTGCGACGGACGAGATCGGTCGTTACCGATTTTGCTGCGAGATTCTGTATCACTGTATCGGTCACGACCGATTTGCTTCAAAATTGGTCGCGACTGATCGATCGGGATCGATCCCGACCGATTTGGAGTGCCGATGGGTCGCTACCGATCGCGACCGAACATGATCCTGGCGAAGGACCTAACCATGGGCAGAAATCCGCCGATCCGGCGTGTGAGTTTGAAAGAGGGTGAACTTGAGCTTCGCTTGAGCTCCGCTCTGCAAAAGAAGGGGTCAGCGCTTTCGCCCATCCCGCCTCCGCTCTGCAGGGGGGGGGGGGGGTCAGCGCTTTCGCCCACCCCGCCTCCGCTCTGCAGGGGGGGGTCAGCGCTTTCGCCCCCGCCTCCGCTCTGCAGAGGGGGGGTGTCAGCGCTTTCGCCCTCCCCTCTTCTCTGCTAGGGTCTGCAGGGGGAGGGGGGGGGGTCAGCGCTTTCGCCCCGCCCGCCTTCGCTCTGCAGGGGGCGGTCAGCGCTTTCGCCCAGGCCTTCGCTCTGCGGGGGGGGGGAAGGGGGGAAGTCAGCGCTTTCACCCCCCTTCTCCGCTCTGCTGGGGGGGGGTCAGCGCTTTCGCCCCGGCCTCCGCTCTGCAGGAGAAGGGGTGTCAGCGCTTTCGCCCCTCCCCTCCGCTCTGCCAGGGGGGGTGGGTCAGCGCTTTCGCCTGCCTCCGCTCTGCAGGGGGGGGTGGGGGGGGGGGGGGGCGATCAGCGCTTTCGCCCCCGCCCCCGCTTCTGCCCGCGCCCGCGCTCGCGCGCCCCCGCGCCCCCGCCCCCGCCCGCGCTCGCGCCCACGCCTTCGCCTCCGCCCCCGCCCTCGCCCCCGCCTCCGCCCTCGCCTCCGCCCCCGCATTCACCACCGCCCCCCTCGCCCCCACACATGCCTCCGCCCCCGCCCGCGTCCCCGCACCCGAGCTGCCACCGCTAGCGCCCCCGCCTTCACTCCCGCCCCCGCCTTCGCCCCCGCCCGCTTCCGCATCCGCTCCCGCCCCCCTCGCCCCCACCCCTGCCCCCGCCCCCGTCCCCGAAGCACCGATCCTCTCACAGCCCCCGACCCCTTCCGAAGCCCCGACCCCTTTCGGGGTGCTATCGCAGCCCCGACCCCCGCCTCGGAATCTCCTCAGGGCCCAAACCTCTTCGAGCCCCCGACCCCCACTCCTCGAAACCCCGACCCGCTTCCCGGGTCTTTACGAGCTCCGCCCTCCATTCGGAGACTCCTCGAGGCCCCAACCTCCCCTCGCTCCCCGACCTCCTTTTCGAGGCCCCGACCTCCGTCGGTGGTACCCTCGTGGCCCCCACCCTCCCCTCATCTTCATCGCCAGCATCGTCGTCGTCGTCGCCGTCGTCGTCGTCGTCCTCGTCATCGCCATCAACTCGTCGTGCCGACCACCAGCATACGGAGCGACCAAGAGAACCCAGTACGACCCCAAGACGACACAAGAAGGCCCCGAGTCTGCGAACGATCGGTCGAAGACGCCCAAGATGGCCTCGAGACGGCCTCAGAAGCTTCGAAGACGCCCCAATATGCCTCCAGGAGGGCTCCCAAGAGAGGCAGGCATTCTCCCATTCTTTGAAGAAAATTTTGACAAATTCGCCTCTTGGACCTTCACAGCGTCAAAGACGGCCCAAAAGGCACCCAAGATCGCCCCAGCACGGCCCAAGGGCCCCCAGTAGGGCTTCAAGACGGCCCAAGAAGGCCCCAGAACAGACCAAGAGCCCGCAAGGACGCCCCAAGAGTGCCCCAGGACGAGCCCAAGAGGGGGCCCGGAAGGGGAAAAGACACGAACATTTCGAGTCTTTAACCCCAAGACGCCACCAGCAGGCCCAAAAAGACCCCAAGAAGCCCCCAAGATGCCCCAAGAAGCCCCCAAGAGGCCCCCAGAAGGGCCCCAGAGGACCTCAAGAGGCCGCCAGCAGACCCCCAACAAATCGTCACCAGTCGTCGGTCATCCACCGTCGGCCAGCATGCGTCGCCAAGCATTCGTCGTCGATCATCAGTCGTTGGTCGTCCATCGTGGGGCGTCTTCATCGTCGCCGTTTTCCTCGTTGTCAGATGTCGTCGTCACCAATCCTCGGTCGCCAGCCGCCGCCCATCATTCGTGGTCGTTGTTCGTCCATCGTTGGTCGTCCGTCGTCGTCGTCGTCGTCGTCGTCGTCGTCGTCGCCGCCGCCGCCGTCGTCGTCGTCGTCGACGCCGTCGTCGTCGTCGTCACTATCATCGTCGTCATCATCGTCGTCCATGTCCACCTGAATCCTGAGCGCCCCGGATCGGCGGCACTGGCCGGAGGCCACTACAATAATGATGTAAGGCAATCGTCTTGGACGTTACTCGACCGCATCTCCCGAGACATCCTCATGAAATACGATGATCTACATAATAGGTTTCGAGATCAATTCTGGGAGTGAGTAGCACCATCTCCATTTGATCGCAGTCCCTCGCTCAGGCCCTGTTAGAACGCTCGTTCATGAGCCAGGCGGGGTCGGACTGCTCGCTCATGACCCCGCCCAGGCGGGGTCAGAATGATCGCCCATGACCCCGCCCGGGCGGGGTTAAGAATGCTCGCTCATAGCCGCGCCCAGGTGGGGTCAAAATGCTCGCCCAGGGCCGTTTGTGTCAGTCTGTGTGCGTGTGCGTCAACATGTTTGCGTATCCGCCTCTGTTTGCATGTCTGGTTGTGTGTCTCTGTGTCTGTGTCTGCGTCTGTGTCTCTGTGTGTGTGTCGTGGTCTGCTTGGTCACAGCGAGCATGGTGGAGAATAAGTGCCACTGGGGGCTCAGCTCAGCACCATTATATTGCAAGACTAACGCTCTGCCGCTGACCTATGAAGGCTGTGGTGGACATTGTTCAAAGTGCTGCTATCGTTGCCCAATTTCGGTGCTGCGCCAACATGACATACACACATGCTCTGAACGCACACACACACACACACGCACACACAAACACGAATCCGAACACGCACACACACACACACACACACACATACAGACACGCACACGAACACGAACACGAACACGCACACGCACACACACACACACAGACACAGACACACCCCCACACACACACACCCACACACACACACACACACACACAAACACACAGGGGAGGCCTTCGGTGGAGCTCCATCTGGGGCCACGAAACTTGTGAGGAGTGTGCCGGCATGGGTGCGGCGGCCGCATGTGGACATGGCCACTGGGGCCTCCGTTGGAGCTCCCTAGGGCGTCACGAATCGCGTGAGGAATGCACCCCAACAGGGGCATTCGGAGGACAGTGGCAGGAGTGGCAGGAGGGAGGAGGGAGAGAGAGGAAGAAGGAGTGAGACGCGGGGCGCTGTCTCTTCAAAACGCAGACCCAAGACCACAAGATGGTTCGGAAAAACAAAAAACAAAAAAACGTGATCCAATGATCTGGGCCCCTCCCCCCACTCCCGGCTACGCCCGTCGTCGCCACGGGATGCACATTATCCGGGCGAAGGCCCCAACCATATGCAATGTGCAGTGGCGAGTACCGGCGTTTTGAGTATCGCCTTCGGTGGAGCTCCCTTATGGGGTCGCGAAACGTGTGAGGAGTGTGCCGAGGTGGGTGTGGCGGCTGCCTGTGGACATCGCCACGGTGGCCTTCGGCGGAGCTCCATCTGGGGCCACGGAACGTATGAGGAGCGTGCCGAGATGGGTGGGGCGGCCACCATGTGGACATGGCCACTGGGGCCTTCGGTGGAGCCCCCCATGGGGCGTCGAAACGTGCGAGTGGTGTGCCCAAAAGGGTGGGGCGGCCGCATGTGGACATCGCCTCTGGGGCCTTGGGTAGAGTTCTCATGGGGCCACGGAACGCGTGAGAGGTGTACCGGAATGAGTATGGCGGCCGCATGTGGACACAGCCACTGGGGCACTTGGTGAGCTCCCTCTACTGTCACGAAATGCGTGAGGGGTGTGCCAACATGGGCGGGACGGACGCATCTGATGGCCACTGGGGCCTTCGGTGGAGCGACCTAAGGGGCCACAAAACGTGTAAGATGTGTGCCGAAATTGGTGCCGCGGCCGCGCGTGATGGCCAATGGCGCCTCCGGTGAAGCTCCCTATGGGGACTCGGAACGTGTGAGGGGTGTGCCCAAAAGGGTTGGGCGGCCGCATGTGGACATGATTGCTGGAGCCTTCGGTGGAGCTCCCCATGGGGACACGGAATGCCGCAAGTAGACATGACCACTGGGACCTTCGGTGGAGCTCCCTATGGGGCCACAAAGCGTGCGACGGGTGTGCCGAAATGGGTGGGGCGACCGCATGTGGACATGGCCACTGAGGCCTTCGGAGGAGCTCCCTGAGGATCCACGAAACGTGTGAGGAGTGTGCCGACATTGGTGGGGTGACGCAGGTGGACATGGCCACTGGAGCCTTCGGAGAAGCTCCCTGTGGGGCCAGGAGACGTGCGCGGGGAGCGCCGACATGGACATGCGGAGGTGCGGAGGGCAGCGGCAAGTGGTGGGGAGAGGGCGGAGGAAGGCGCGAGACGCGGGGCGCTGCCGCTTCAAAACGACGACGTGGCAGTGGCGACGACGGCGGGGCACGCAGGCTGGGCAACACCCCGAGGCCACGAGGAGCCCGGGCGCCTCCAGCTGCGATGCCCGCCTCTGCGGGCACCGCCCCCTCCTCGGCGTTCGGGTCATAGCTCGTGTCTGCGGCGGCCGCTCGGGACGATGCGGGCACCCCTGGAACGCCCTCGGCGAGGCGCTGCTGGAAGGCATGCGGAGGCCGGAAGACCTCCAGAAACAGACGAAGACGCCCGTGTAATTACCTCGAACCTCGAACCCGTCGCCCCCTGGCTGGCGAGAGTGGTTCTGTGGGGAGCCGCCGCCCGTTGCCCTCGATAGGACGAGAACGGTGTCATGATACGATTGGCTACGCATGCGCTTCAGGAGCTCACAAGACTACCTAGCGGCCCACGTTTCTGCAGCCCGTTTTATTGAGCATCAGGACATCTCGAAAATCCTCGAGATCTTGGAACGTGCCATTCTCATGACATATTGCTCATCCTATCTCTATCCCCCGCCCAGCCTCCTATTCCTCCTTCCTCCTGCTGGTCGTCCCAGTGTGGCATGCTTGCCTCGCTGCTCCCGCTTGATCTGCCCATGTGCCCCCAGCGCGCAGGTGCAGCTGTCACGCGGAGCCGCGTGCGGTGGCCTGGCGTGCAGCATAAGCCTGGGCACTCCTGCCAGCCAGCCTTCACGCCCACGCGCCGCTTGGTGCACGTCCAGTCGGCCAATCGGTCAACCTTGGAGACGGACGGGGGTCTGAACTGGCCGGGGCCCCAGACAATCTGTCAGGAGAGGGGGGATGAAGCCAAACCCGCTCAAAAGCTCAGAATCGCTCCCCAGACCCCTCCATGGTGTCCGTGTGGCGCGACTTTTTCAATCCACCTCAGTTTTTCGCTGTCCCTGGACCCGAAAGCGGCCCCCGAAGGCACAACAAAAAACAAAAACAAGATCTCCCCGAACCCAGAGCCCCGAAGCTCGCCCCCCGTGTCAGCTGGCCGGGACCAGTGCTGGGCCACCTCGGACCCCCGGACGGCTCCAAGCTTGGTGTACGTGCCGCCACGTCGTTTGTTCTCGACGCGCCCAGGTGGACGACGCCGACACCACGGCAACCCCCCGGCAAGGCCTGCGCCCCGCGCCCAAGTAGACGATGCCCGCACCGCGGCAAACCTGCAGCGAGCCTTCCGCGTCCGAGGCGGCCTTTGCCCTGGTGGCCGAGGCGCCTTCTCAGAGACGTGAGGCCGCGCGTCGGAACCAACGGCGCGTCGACACATCTGATTTGCCAGTCAGTCAGTCTTGCTCCCCCGCCCGATGCTGAGTGATGACGACAAGACGACCTACCCCTTGGACAACCCAGCGAGGATCGACCTGGACAGCGCCCCCGGACAGCCCCCCTTGCACAAGCCTCCCCGGGAGCTCTCTTCTCCTCCTCCGTCGGCTGCCGCAGGCATCATCCCCCCCCCTCGCCCGCCCTTGAGGTCCTAACCCCATCCGCCCACCAGCCCGACACTCCGTCGGCCCTGCGCCGCCCCGCCCGCGCCGCCGCCCCCTCCTGCGGACGCGTCCGAGGGCGCGCGAGGGCGGCGGCCCTGCCGGAACTGCTGGTACTCGCACAGCTGCGCGTGCAGCACCGATGCGGGCAGGTGGCCCCGGCGAGTGCCTGCGGGGTCCCAGGGTCCAGGGGGGGGACGGCAAAAACCCGGAGGCGCTCGCGTCGTGGAAAGAGAGACGGCACGACAAATTATTATCCCAGAGCGACCCTACCTAGGAGTTGGAGCCCCGAGGAGTAGCTATGCTGCGCTATGCTACGCTATGCTACGCTATGCTACGCTATGCTACGCTATGCTACGCTATGCTATGCTATGCGATGCTATGCGTGGAAAGAGAGACGGCACGACAAAAAACACGGGAGGCCTCTGGGCGTCTTCGGCTGCTGGGGGCCCTCGCTGGGCCCCAGGGCCCTCCAAAAGCGACTCGGGATGAAGAACCGGCTCCGGGGAAGGGGTCGGGAGTTCCAGTGACCCCGCATGGGAAGAATCGAGACATCGCATGTCTGGGCAGGTGCCCCTGAGGTCTGGCCCAAGGTGCCCCCAGCTTTTCGCTCCATTTTGGAGCCTCGTGAGGGGTGCTCTGGAGGCCGTGGGAGCCTCCTGGGAAATCCTGGGGGCACCATGGGCCAGGGGCACTTTTAGCAACACACGACCAGAGAAGGAAGATGATTACGAGGGCAACGTCGTCTGCGGCAACTCCTGGAAGCCTCCCACACCATCTTGTTGACTCTTGTGAATCAGCGCTGATCGACGCTCATCGACGCTTGATCAGCGCTACCTCATCGACTGCCATCGACGCTGATGCACTCTGAAGACGGTTACGAGGGTATGCAAGGCTCCCATGAATGGCTACCGAACATCGTCATCGTTTCGGAGGCTTTTGGGCAACTGCGGAGGTTCTCGTCGCCGCGGCCTATGCTGGCTCGAGAAAGCCGGCCAGGATGGACCCAGGGAGGGGTCCAGGGACCGATGTTCCTGGCCATCGCAAAGAATGAGGCGCGCGGGCCTGCAGGGAAGGGGCACGGCGGCAGCGGCAGCGACCCCAGATCTCCGAGGTCATGATTTCTGAAGTCTGGGCATATGTCCTCGATATTGGCCTCTGGGGCCCATAATCTGGCCATGGGACCTTCAAACTGGATCCGAAAAAAAAAAAAAAACTGGGGCCGCGCATTAAAAATTGCCAACCGAAGGACCAAACCATATGCAGTTGCGAGTGCCGGCATTGTGGGTATCGCCTCCAGTGGAGTTCACGGGGCGGACGCATGCGAACATGGCCACTGGGGCCTTCGGTGGAGCTCGCTATGGGGCCACGGAGAAAATGAGGGGTGAGCCGGAATTGGCGGGGGGGACGCATCAGGCCTGCGCCACTGGAGTCTTCGGTGGAGTTTCGTGCGAGACCGCGGAACGCGTGAGGCGTGAGGGATGTGCCGAAATGCGTGGGGCGGACGCATGCGGGCTGCGCCACTGGGACCTTCGGTGGAGCTCCCTGTGGAGCCACGACACGCGTGAGGGATACGCCACAAGAGAACAGGGCGAACGCATGCGGCTCCGCCACTTGGGCCTTCGGTGGAGCTCCCTGTGCGGCCACGAAACGTGTCAGGGGTGTGCCGACATGGGTGCGTCGGACGCATGCGGGCTGCGCCACTGGGGCCTTCGGTGGAGCTCCCTGTGGGGCCACGAAACGTGTCAGGGGTGTGCCGAAAGTGCGGCGGACGTCTGCGGCCTGCGCCACTGAGACTTTCGGGGGACATCACTGTGGGGCCACGAAGCGTGTGAGTGATGTGCCGAATAGGGTGGGGCGGACGCATGCGGGCTGCGCCACTGGGACCTCCGGTGAAACTTCCTGTGGGGCCACAGAACGTGTGAGTGGTGTGCCGACATGGGTGCGGGACCGCATGCGGGCTGCGCCACTGGGACCCTCGGTGGAACTCACCGTGGGGCCACGAAACGTGTTAGGGGTATGCCGAAAAATGGTGCGGGGCCGCATGCGGGCTACTCCTGTAGAGCGCCTTGTGGGGCCATGAAACGTGCCAGGGGTGTGCCGACATGGTGCGGCGGACCCATACGGGCTGCGCCACTGGGGCCTTCGGTGGACCTCCCTCGAAGGCCACGAAACACGTGAGGGGTGTGAGAAATGGGTTCAGGACCTCATGCGGGCTGCGCAACTGGGACCTTCGGTGGAATTGAGGGGCCACGAAAAGTGTGAGTGGTATGCCCACATGGGTGCGGGATCGCTTGCGGCTGCGCCACTGGAACCTTTGGTGGGGCTCACTACGGGGCCACGAAACGTGTGAGGGGTGTGCCAGAGTGGCTGCGGGACCACATTGGGGCTCTGCGCCACTGGTACCTTCGTTGGAGCTAACTATGGGGCCACACAGCGTGTGAGGGGTGCGCCGAAATGGATGTGCGGAGGGCAGAGGCAGGATTGGAAGAAGGGAGGAGGAGGAGGAGGAGGAGGAGGAGGAGGAGGAGGAGGAGAAGGAGGAGGAGGAGGAGGAGGAGGAGGGGCGAGTAGGAGGAGGAGGAGGAGGAGGAGGAGGAGGAGGAGAAGAGGACGCGGGGCGCTGCCTCTTCCAAACGGGGACCCAACTTCACAGGATGGTCGGGAAAAGGACACAATTAGCCTGGCGAAAACCAGCGATACGCGGCTGCGAGTACCGCGAGGGAGGTGGGACGACGGAGGGGGACACGCAAACACCAAACAGCGCATAGCACAGCCTCTGCTCTCATAGGCAGCGCGCCGCGAGAAGAACGAAGCGCGGAGCAAGGCGGGCCAGGGCGGGAACCGAGCGGGAGGATCGGCCCGCAAACTCGATCACCAGTTCTGTGAGCCCTGTTTGGGAGCACCGAGGGTGCCCACGACGCAATCGGGGGCGGCCAAGAGGGGGGCGTCCTTATAGAGGGGGGGCGCAAATCATGGCCGGCGGCATGTGCGCGGCCAAAGGGGGGGGCCAGGGACGCAATGGAATAAGAAGAGGCGCCATGAAATCTGGGGAAATATCATGGCCCACGCCATGATATCCCCCCCCCCTAGTCATCGCCCCCCTCTTTGCCGCCCCCGACGCAACTGACAGGGGGCGAGGCATCTGGGCCTCGGACACAGCGATACCAGGAAGGGTGCGCGAGCCTGGCCCGCCCCCCTGTGGGCCACGCAGCGTCCGAGGGGTGTGCCGAACGGGGTCGGCCGACCTCGCCAGGGAGGCCCTCGGCGCAGCTGCTCAGGAAGCCACGAGACGCGTGAAGAGTGTGGCGCAATGGGTGGGGCGGACGCGCGCGAACTGCCCACGGAAGCCCTCGGTGGAGTTCCCTGTGGTCGACAGGCGCGCCCCAGTGCCCGCAAGAGAACTGCTCGCAAAGTGCATAGACCCGCCGCGGTTTCATTGCGCCGCGTCGAACATACGTTTGTTTTTGTTTCTGACGTTTGCGGGTAGGCACTTTGCGAGTAGTGGAACGCGCTCGGTGATATGGGACTACGAGAAAATATGAGGGGTGTGCCGAAATGGGCCGGGCGGACGCATGCGAATTCACCACGGAGGCTCTCTGTGGAGCTCCCTTTGGGGCCACGGAACGTGTCAGGGGTGTGCCGGCATGGGCCGGGTGGACGCATGCGAACTCACAACGGATGCCCTCGGTGACGATCCATATGCGACCACGAGACGTGTGAAGGGTGTGCTGACATGGGTCGGGCGGACGCATGCGAGCTCACAAACGAGGTCTTCGGTGGAGCTCCCCATGGAGCCACGCAACGTGTGAGGAGTGTGTCGAAATGCGTCGGGCGGACGCATGCGAAGTCACCACGGAGGCTCTCGGTGGAGCTCCAAGTGCGACCACGAGACGCTTGAAGGGTGTGCCGAAGTGGGTCGGGCGGACGCATGCGAACTCACCACGGAGGCCCTCGGTGGAGCTCCCTACGGAGCCACAAGACGTGTGAGGGGTGTGCCGCAGTGGGTCGGGCGGACGCATGCGAATTCAGTACAGAGGCCTTCGGTGGATCTCCCTTTGGGGTCACGAAACAGGTGAAGGGTATCCCGAAATGGGTTCGACGGACGCATACGGGCTGCGCCACTGGGACCTTCGGTGGAACTCTCTGTGGGGCCAAGAAACGTGTGAGAGGTGTGCCGAAACTGGTCGGGCGGACGCATGCGAAAGCTCACCACGGAGGCCCTTGGTGGAGCTACCTCTGGGGCCACGAAACGTGTGAGGGGTGTGCCGAGCAGGTTGACATGCGGAGGGCAAGGAGAAAATGATGGGATAAGGGAAGGGCGGGAGGAGGAGGGAGGTGAGGCGACGCGGGGCGCTGTCTCTTCAAAACGAGGACCCAACACCACAGGATGACTGGGAACAACAACCTGGCGAAAAACCCAACCATGCGCAATTGCGAGTGCTGTCGTTGTGAGTATCGCCTCTGGTGGAGCTCCCTATGGGGCCACGAAACGCGTGAGAGGTGTGTCGGAGTGGGTGGGGCTGCCGCTTGCGAAAATGGCCACTGGGGCTTTTGGTGGAGATCCCTATGCGTCGACAACGACAGGACCGACGATCAGAAGGAGAAGGACGAGGAGAAGAGGGAAGATGAGAACGACGAGGCATAGTTAGGCAGAGGCAGACGAGCACGAGGAGGACGAAAAAGAGGACGACGAGGAGGCGCCATCCACCATGTTTCCTGCAATGTCTGATGGATCACCCCACCGCGTCGCTCTCTCCTCCTGTCGCCACCGGAGCTATCAGCCTTGCCATTTCCCCTGTTGTCGCCCTCATTGCATTATCCGCCTCGCCCCGTCCTCGCCCGTCGTCGTCTGCATCCCTCCCATCCAGCCCTCCCTCGCCATCGTCCTCGTCTGCTCACGTCAGGGTCACGCGGCGCCCATCTGTGCGAGCACCCGCGGGACGTCCCCGAACTTCGCCTTGGCCAGCTCCTCCACCTCGGCAAAGAGAGGTGGGTACGTGCTGGCTAGCAGCGCCTCAGCCGCTCCAGCCTCGACGCCTCCCCAAAGAGGATCATGCACTCAGTGCGTGCGCACATCCAGGCCTAGGCCTGCAGCCCGGACGTTTTGAAATGGACCCAGACGCGGACATGCAGACCTACAACCCGGCCACTCCCAGGCCTAGATAGCATACCCTGACACACGTACACACAGGCACGTACATCGAGGTATAGGTTCAAGCACCAACACATGCGCACAGCCATGCATGTGTTCATATGCATACACATACTCATAGGTGCACACCTAGATGTATGCAGATGCATGTAGGTGTGCATACACACATACACCTGTACGTATGCACATCCATATATAAATGTGCAAATGCACGTACGCGTGCAAGCACATGTAGATATGGAAATGCACACATGTGTACATATCTACAGACCCCTTACATACTATATATATATATGTGTATGTATGGGTATACAGGCATAACATACAGATGCGTCTAAATGTACATGTTCACAAACACGCACATGTACAAACACCTCTACATGTACATGCACACCTACGTTCACGATTGCACCCACATGGTGTGATTAAACGCTTCCGTTACAAAAAGAAGGATTGTCCAGACATCCAGTCACAAGGGATATGCCGACACCTATAACAGGCTTTGGGAGGTTTCCAATTGGACCAGAAATGTACGGTTCAACCATGTCATACACGGTGGACGGGCATCCACTCTCGATAGAGGTGCGTCCGATTAGCCCCCCTGGGGTGTATCCCCGAGTTCCCCTCCTTTTTCTAAGCGGCTTGATTCTTCGTTGGGAAATCGGAGGCTGGGGTCGAGAAATCTCATGCGATTCAACGCCTGGAACAACTAACTGGAATGGAATATCCATGCTCAACCTCGGGGGGGCCGTTTTCGGGCTCTGAACCAAGCCAAGACAAAATCTGCCCCAGGGAAACGCGTCGAGAGCCTCGGAGTCGCGTGCTTCCTCCTGCTCCCGCCCGCCACCTCATGTCCTCCTGCCTCCTCTATCCCTCATCCTCTCCCCTCCTCGTCCTCCCACCGCCTCCGCCCCTCCTCCGCCAAGCCACTCCGCTCAAAACCAGTCCCCGGACCCTTCCCAGCCAGAATCCTGCTCAAACTTCCAAGCCGCGGCAGGTCGTGGCGACGAGAGGGGGGGGGCCCGAAGGTCTGGAGGAACTGGACAGCAGCCCGATCTGTTTTTCGGCCCGCGCCGCGCAAGTTCAAGAGAAGGAGGATGAGGAGGAGCAGGAAAATGCACCATGGCCGCATGGATCTCCTCAATTCGCGCGCCGGGCTGCGAAGCGCGGCACGGTGTCAGATTCGGACCCCCGCGCCGAGCCGTGGAGAAGAACTACTACCCGGCCCAGGCCGGGGAAGCGCGAGCAACTTTCGCGACGCAAAGACCTGCCGTGGCAGTTCAGTATCCGAGCATTTCCGTATCCGCCGCCGTGCGGCCAGGCACTCAGTGGAATGGTCTCAGGTCCCTTCGGGCGAAACGTGTACGTAGAAGCAGCCGGGTCGACCTCATTCCGTGCGGAGCACCGCCGCCTCCGCCTCCGTCAGGAGGGCGGCACCAGGTGTCGAGCGCGGTGGTCCGTGCCCCACCGGCGCTCAGAATACATCTTTCTCATCTGTCTTGCTGCTCCACTCTCTCCTCCTCGGCCTGGTCTGCTGGCAGCGCAATGGGGCCGCCGCTGGGGCAGGGGCGGCGCAGTGTGCCCCCTCGAGTTCTCGGCATCGAGCACGGTACTGCGAGTACTGCAGGGGGCCCAGGGCCTCAATTCACGAATTCCGTGCGGAGTCCCGCGTGACTCTTGAGGCGCCCCCGTAACTTTCCCAGAGGCTGGACGCCGCCAAGACTGGCCTTCAAGGTCCCAAGAGGGGCCCCAGGCAGTCAAAGAGTGGCTCGAGACAGCCGAAGAGCGCTCCGAGACGCCCAAGATGGAGTCAAGAAGGCTCAAGAAGCGCCCAAGACGCTTCAAGGGGACCCCACGAGGGGGCGCCAAAAGGAACGAACATATCGATGGCCGTATGTGTTTGAAATAGATTGCTTGGCGTGCTCGCACTTACGGACTTCAACCCGATCAAGACGGCCAAGAGGCATGCAAGATCGTACCAAGACGGCCCCAGAGGCCCCCAATAAAGCCACGAGAAAGCCCAAGAAGGTCACAAGACGGCTCAAACTGACCCCGAAACGGCCCAAGAGGCTGCCAAGAGGCTGCCAAGAGGGCCCCAAGAGAGGAAACTCAAAGTGGCAGTGGCAACCCGTCCCCCCAAAGATAGCCCCCAAGACCCCCAAGATGCTCCCAAGAGCTCCTAAGACGTGCCCAACAGGCCCCCTGGAGCCCGCCGAGAGGCCCCCCAGAGGCCCCCGAAGAGGCCACAAGAGCGTCCTCAGCAGGCCTCCAAGAGGCCACCGAGAGGCATCCCAGCCGACCCCAATGAGCATCCAACAGGCCTCTGGCCCACAACCCAGGCACGGTGGCGGGAGGGGCCGAGGGCCACTGGCTCCGCCGCCCCCTGTGGTCTTGCCACACGGGTGCCTGGCGCGCTGAGGCTCTGGTGCCGTTTGGGCCTTCTGAGAATCCCCCCGGGTCGGCACAGCGCGCCGGCCACCCCGAAGCTCCAAAGTGTCGGTCTCCATTGGCCCCATCGGCTCCAGGGCGGCCAAGATGGCCCAAAATGGCCTCCAAGTTCGCCCACGATGGTCCGAGCTGGCCTCGAAGACGGCCAAAGAGGATCCAAGATGCCTCCAAGACCGCCCAAGAAGCCATCAAGACGGTCCAAAATGGCTCGAAGATGGCCCAAGACGGCCCAAGAGGTCCCCGAGAGGCTTCCAATACGGCCCAAGAGGCCTCCAAAAAGGCATCGATGAAGACCCGAGAAGGCAGAAATCATTGGTGTTGTCTTTGGGCGATTTACGCATTTGCGTCATGTCGGCTTTCCGACGGCCCGAGACGGCTAAAGAGGCCCTCGAGATGACCCAAAGATCGCCCGGGACGCATGTGGACGGTGGCACTGGGGCCTTCGGTGAAGCTCCCTATGGGGCCACGAAGCGCTGTACTGAGTGGGGGGACGCATGTGGACGGTGGCGCTGGGGCCTTCGGTGGAGCTCCTTATGGGGCTACGAAACGCTGTACTGGGTGGGTGAAACGCAGGGAAGAGGGGGCGGAGGGAGGAGGGGGAGGAGGAGGGGGAGGAGAGGAGAGGAGAGGAGAACGCGGGGACAGTCTCTTCAAAACGAGGACCCAACACCACAGGCTGGTCTGGAATAATCGGGGGAAGATTTCGTGCAGTATGTTTGAATAGTTGTGGGGGGCCTGTTTGGGGCATGTCCAATGTTTCGCTCAACATCCGCCTGTAGGGGGACGCGACCCAAACCGACGCCCATACATTCGGACGAACTCTTGTCGGCGCCGAGGGCGGGCGCCAGCGCGGCCGCACAGTCGGCGGGCGCCGCGCCGGGCAGGGCGCACACTCGACAAAGTGGAAGAGAAGAAGGCGGCCGCGGAGGGGAGCACGGGAGCCCGCCTCGGGCGTAGCTCTGCAGGTCTGAGGAGATGGAGGAGGAGGATGAGGAGGAGGAGAAGGAGGAGGAGGAGGAGGAGGAGGAGCTCCTCTGCACTCCTGGGGGAGATTGGGCTCCTCGGGCTCCGGCCTCCGCCGCGGGCGGAGCGCCGGCGGAGCCTGGCCCTGGTGGAGGTCTGGCCAGAGCTGGCGGGAAGTCCTGCCGGAGCCGGGCGGGCCGCGGCCTCCTGAGCTTTGTATGGTGCCAATCGTGGAAATGGCGATGCCATCTGCGATAAAGAACATCGCCAGATTCCCCATTACATGAAAGTAGCACTGCACCCCTTTATACCATACCCCTTTCCTGCCTCCAGGGTAGCGAGTCTTCGCCACGAGGTGCGCGCAGGCGGCGTCGGGCAGTTCGAGCGAAACGTCCCCTAGCGCCCACGCGTAGGTGCGCTGGCCGAGCCCGAGGCCGAACGACAGACCGCGCACTGGGGGCCCCGCTCGGCCCAGCGTGGCCCAGAAGCAGTCGGCGCTTTGGCCTCCGCAGGCGTTCACCTCTCCGGCACCGCAAGGCGGCGGCGGCGGCGGCGGCGGCGGCGGCGACGACGACGACGACGACGACGGCCGCGACGGGGGTGACAAAGACGACCCGCCAGCGACGGCGGCGACGACGAAGACGGCAACTGCGACGGCAGCGGCGACGACGGTGACGACGGAGACGACGACAACGAGGGCGACGGCAACGACGGCGGCGGCGGCACGCACGGCGCCGAAACGAGCCGTGCCGCCGTGCGCGAGAGGGCGCCCGCTGCTCCGACGCATCGCCCGCGGGAAACTCTCGGGGAGGGGGAAGGTTCCAGAGAGGAGGAACAACTCCTCCTCCTCCTCCTCCTCCTCCTCCTCCTCCTCCTCCTCCTCCTCCTCCTCCTCATCATCATCATCCTCATCCTCCTCCTCCTACTCCTCCTCCTTGCCGATATCGTCCTTTAGGAGGCATTTCCTGGGAGGTCTTCGTCGGAACGATTCAAGGCGACTGAGCTCGACTGAATTGCCACTGAGACGGAGTAGGCCGGAGATTCGGCCCAGAATCAAGCCAAATGAAGCGGGATTAAATCAAATTAGTCGGGATAAGCCAGATGAAACGGAATTAGGCCATATTAGGCGAGTTTTCGACCAGGGATGTACCAGCGCCGATCTTGAATTAACCTCCCATAATTTTCATCTAATTCTATATTCTGCTCTCCGGGAGAGGGGAGCGCTGCTCTCCTCACAGGCTCCTCTGGGTCATCATGTTATACAGCACCTGCCTGAACATCACCATTACTACTACCACCGTCATCAGCATCATAAGTATGATCATCGTCATGATCAGCATAATCATCACCATCATCAT